TGGGCCATGGTGAAAAAGTTCATTCATACCCAAACGTTTATTAGGTGAAGTCTTTTTAAAGCTACGTACAGATCCACCAGCTGTATTCACACCAGTTACTCCGAATATCAAATTCGGTTGTTGATGTTTTTGAGGTGGTGTACGTTGATCACCGTCATTATAACCAGCAGTTACCTTAGTATCAGAATTAATAGAATTTTTTTGCTGCTGACGTCTGTAAAATTATAAATTAAATTATAATAAAATTAAAATTATAATAAAAATAAAGATATCAACAATAATTATTTACCGAAAACGTCTTTGAAAATCTTCATCCTGCAATACTAATAAGCGACGCATACGTTCATCGCTATGCTGTAAAGACATAGCATCATTCATATGCATACTATTATCATCCTCATCATTATCTTCATCACACATGCTTTCATCTTCATCGTCCTCATAGTCATCATTATTTTGCATATGCAACCTTTCAGTACCTGGACCTTCATAGTCATCATCACCATCAATGTCATAGTGTTGAACATCAGAATTGCGATTGCTTAGTATTTCTTCATACACTGGCCCATCACCACTAATGGAACTTTGATTATAGTATGTTTCACTTACACGTCCTGAATCATAATCCTTATTTAAATCACAGTTGGAATGTTTGCCTTTAATAAAGCGCTGTCCTTGCACATATGAATTTATATGTACACCATTAAAATCTGCTGGTGTTCCCAACTTGTGAGGTTCTGGAGCTCCACGACGGTTAAAATGTAATAGGTGTGCATGTGCAGCTGGTTCAATATGCTCCTCATCAGATGATAGCTGCTGTTGCTGAATTGTATTATATTGTTGCTTCATATGTTGGTGTTGAGGACCAACAGTTGGGTACCGACGTTGTTGTTTTTGTTGTACTTGCGGTTGGTGATGCATATAAGCCGTGGGCTCACCTGGTTCTGCATAATGTTGATACTGTTGCGGATTTTTATGTGTTTTTTTATATGATGGATAAAAAAGTATCTAAAAATTGTTTTATCAGTAAAACTGCATCATACAAATATTTTATAAAGTACCTGTGATGCAGCTGTTGTGCGACTATGCAGCGAACCACTTGGAGAATCAGAATTTCCACCGCCTCCACGTTTCTTCTTACCTTGTTGACTATGTTTTTGTGTCCAGTAGAAGAATTCATGAGTTTGTTGTGGTGAATTTTCACCTGCAATATAATCACGGTGTTGTTGCGGTATTCCTCTATTAATAGGCTGCTTCCAACTTTCATAATCCGGTTGATGATAAAAACTTTCTTGAGTAGGGACACTGTTGCTACTAACACTGCTACCGACTGGTTGTTGTTTATGTCCATGTCCAAAAATTAAGTGTGTGGAACCGGCAGATGATGTTGGAGAAGTGTGGCCAGCACTGGGTGTATGTACACTGCCGCCAGTGTAACGCAATGAACCAGTTGGAACACCACCACCACCACGTTCAAGTACTATATGACCTTGGACAGGATCGAAAACGGCATTACACTTACCATGTGGAAACACTAAATTGCCAGCTAATATACCGCTTTTGATAGTACCACCACTACCACTTGCACCAATATTGCGTTGCGGTTTATTTTCATTTAATTCGCAATCGGATGATGGTACAATTGCATCTTCACAAGCCGATATAGCACCACCTGTGTCATCAATCTCATTTCTTTCATCTGGTAATTTTGAGCTTTTTATTTGGGTATTCGATGTGGCACTGCCGCCACTATTACTAGATGTAGTGTTACCGATATTAGTTCCTACCCCAATACCAGCACTATTACCAACAATTCCAGACGAAATTGACGTTTTGGAACAACGTAGACATTTAGGTAACCAAGAGTTTTGGCGAACATACTTTCGATATTCTCGACGGATCTTTAATGATTTGCTATGTTATAAAATGTATAAAATACCAAAGAAAAAAAACAATACCTTTTCGTTTTGTATGCAATGAAATACGAAGATATAGAGACCCATAAGCGTATTGAAGCCAATAAATAAATAACCAAAAATAATTGCATTTTCTGCTTCGAGTTTTGCACGACGCAAATAATTGTAAGCAGAGATCCAAACTGAGCTTAACAACAACAAAAATATAAACGAGCAGCGTATATCAAACCTTCAAGAAAACATATTGATAAATTTGTGAAGAGAAATAAGCAGAAAGACCACAACTTACCGAATGTTAGATAGGCGTGAATGTTCTTTATTTTTTAGGGCTGAACGACTCTTACGATACATTACAAGCCATGACAAGCACGTATAAATCAGAGCACTCTGTAGTAATATTAAAAAGATCAAATCGGGAATAAGGAAAGAAATAAAAACAAAAACTTACCAAAAAGAAAAGAAGCACAGGCGCTACAAAGGTCGAGTAAAACAATGCATTAGAGTCCATCAAAATGCAAAAATCATTTTGTGTATAGGTGCTAGGATCAATAGCCAATGATATGGCTACAATGGTTAGTGAAAGACCATAAGATAACAGATAATAGCAGTTTACTTTAGAAGTTTGTACAACTTCGAGTAGAATATCATCGGTGGTAAGGATGCAGTATGACTGAAATGCTATAGATAAACAAAGTTTTTTATGAAATACAAAATATTAACATGTATAAAAATAATTAAATAATTTTTAGAAATTTTTTAGAGTATATTTTACTCAAAAATAATGCCTAATGATAATTGAGATTTTTAAATAAATGTCCGTTTTTATTGAAAAATCTGATTTTGTCCATTATAACCAAATAAATTTTGGTTTTAATTAGAATAACTTAATTAAAATAAAATAGCTAGAAAAATAACTAGAGTTTAATAGTTACCGTACCGCATAATCAAAAATAAAACCTGCATATTAAGAAATAGATTGTATTATATTTAAATGAGGTAATATCCCTATTAACATGAGTTTTTCTAAAATCTAAGATGAGATCAATTCTAAGATCATTTACTGAAGCCTGCATAGCTAACAGCTAATTCACTAAAATATATAAAGCATTGTGCCAACATCTCATTAATTAATCTTAGTTATCTCATACCCTTGATTATCTTAATTCTTAAAAATTAATTATCTCATTCATCTTAATTAGTCCTTAATTCATTTTACGTTTTTTGGTTGCAGTAACTGCTAAAAAAAATCTTTAATAATATTTATTTGTTACTACTGCAATCTGCAGAACACACGATAATGAGGACTATTGGAGAGGAATTAAAAAAAATAGGAGATATTGTCTTTAAACTTTAGAAAGTTAACATATATTTATGTCAAAAACATTTTTATAGAGAAGATAGATAAACGAAAAACCCACTGACAATTTCGAATATGTATTCAATAAATAAATGAATCTTATGCAGTTGTATTTGGAGCTCAGCTTACGAAGCATAAACAAATATCTAACGTAGAAGTGAGTAATGTCTAGAGCAGTGTTTTTCAACCTCGCTTCACTCAAGGCTTCAAAAAGTTCAATTATTTTTCCTACGTAACATACACAAGGAGCGTTCAAAAAGGTCAGCGAAATCGTCAAATATTTATCCCTTTTTAAATGATAAAAAACGAACTGTATCCTTCTCCTTTCAGATCAACAAGTTTCTTCTTTTGCTCACGCATTACTATATTCATCAACACACACATATTTCCTGGTGGCTGTTGTTTTAAAGTCAACAATTGTCTATTTACGTGTAATTTAAAATTGCTACTTATAGAGCATACGTCTCACGTTAAGAAACACTGGTCTAGAGGTCTAGAGAAAAGGGTTAGAATTTTTTAGATCTCCCGGTATTGTTTGGAATATAAAAGTTAGTGAGTAAGTTTCATTGTGGCACCCAATCGCATTTTGTAGGTATCGTGGCATTTTGTACCACGGAGTACAGAGCTAACAATTTCGACAGTTCTGACCTAATGAGGTGGTTATAGTGGCTGTGGATATTTAGTTAGAATAACTATATTTATTACGTTCATTCGATGTAGAGCTGCGTTTTTCTACCGGGTGCTGTACTGTAAGGTGTTAGATGGGTGTCACTTCTTCCCAAGGAGAAAACTACATCGAAATGCATAGCTTCAATTGGTCTCGCCGGAATTTATTGAAATTCCAAGAAGAGCGTTAATAGTCGCACATGTATCTGACACATGTGTCAAGAGCAACTGATGTTAAGCCTGGCATGTTATTACATTAAAAACTTTCATTTTTAAAGGACAACAGTTCTTCATCTAAAAATAATTGGTTTGTAGAATGCAGATCAGTGCATATATAGATTGTCGGCACATTTATTTGTCAATTTTTTTCTTGTCATTTATTTTTCTCTTTATTGGTTATTTAGTAGCTTTTTCCCGTTTTTACTTTATATACATAGTAAATAAGCAAATTTCTTTAAAAACTGCTGCAAAAATCACTGTACAAACATTTTCAGTGTTAAAATAAAATTAATGGATTTGACTATGGGGCATGCATTGGGATTTACAGAATTTAAAAAAAATTAAACTAGTTTCACATATGTATTGGTCTATGTATGACAATAAGAATTAAACTTATTAAGAACTATTCAGTAATTTCACAGTATATATATTTACTTCAAAATTTATTGCATTTATGACCTCAGTTGAGCATTGACTGTTTGTGTGAACGGAGTTAAAGGGATTTAGTTTGTAATTAATATTAATTTAATTTAGTTTGGTAATTTATATGCAGCGTTTCGTTTTCAATGTAGTCTTCATTTCTTTAGTTAATAATGTTAAGAATATTTAACTTACCTTCAAAGCAGAACCATGCTATTGCTGCCAATATAGAAACATGTAAGAATACAGCTGTGAAACCGCATAGAATACTAGTCTCTGTTTGTTCAATACCAAGAAGAAACAATAGTTCGACAAATAGTAAACATATATAGATACTGCGATATATTACAGTACGCGCAGACTAGAAGTAGAAAGGAGAATGGAAAATAGATACTAGATATTAAAACTAAAATAGATTATAATAAAGTATGCCAACAATTTTGAAAGTATGCCTAAATTATGCATAATACAAGGAAATTTTTGAAATGATTTCAGTTAAGTATATGATTTGATTTTAAAATTCTTAAATTATTGATAAACAAAAACTTTTGATAGTAAATATCAACTGTTATATGTGAAACATAACACATTTTAACATTGGTGGTTTAGTGGTGTATATTCAATGAGTTTTAAATAAACATAAAAGTACGAATGGAAGAATAAAATAAAAACTTAAAGTAATATGAAATGAAATAAATGAATTTTTTTTTATATATAAAAATGATATTTATTGATTTATGCTTATCTTTGTTGGTTTTCACAACCAATGACAAAAACAGCACAACATGCACTATGTCTAAAAATCAAATTTAAAATTCGTTTATTATTAGAAAATAAAAAATAAATATTAATAGTAAAATTCTTAAAACTAAAACTTAAAGTTGATTACAATTAATTTACTTAATGCTTATATCTTTTAAACTTAATGTCTTACGGATATATCACATTTACTATTATAAACAATCAGTACAGTTCAAGTAAATGAAATAGACAAAAGCGTTAATTAACAAATAAAATAAATTACTTATTAATACGAAATTTTAAGAATTAAACAATATTATTATAACATAATAAATTCATAGCAAATAATTTATATGTTAAAGTTTAACATATTTTGATATTAAATTACGTTAAAATTAAAAAACAAACTTTTACTTTAAAATAACATCAAATACAAACATACACATATATATATGAATTATGAATTCACCACCACCACCATTTATATTGTAAATCATCTATATTTCCTTGCATTATAATATTATTCTGATCGGTATTATTATGACTATGATTATTATTGTTATTACTACGGTTAACGTTTAGATTATTGCTGTTTCCAGCCTGTTGTAGAGCAGCGGCAATAGTTGCTGCAGCTGCAACTGCTGCTACTGAGGTGCTATTCATTGAGGTCTCCAGGTGTGAATTTGTATTGTGTACATGTACATGAGGCTGATTTAAATTATGCCCATGGTTATGATGATGAGGTGATTGTAAGTTTAAGTTTAAATTTAAATTGTTCATTTGTAAATTACGTTGATTATTTGCTACAACAACAGCAGCAGCTGCTGCAGCAACAACCTGCTGCTGTTGTTGTAGTTGCTGTAGATTGAAATTATTAGCATTTAAATTATTACGGTTCGAGTTCCGTATTGAGTTATGTTGTATAAAGCTATTATTTGTTAAAATAGGCATTTGGGGTGTCAAATGCTGCAAATTCAATTGTTGTTGTAAGTTCTGTACATTATTAGTTTGAGCTCCATTAACAGTAGCAGTCGTTGCAGCAACATTTATTGCAATTGACTCATGCGTTTGATCGCGTATATTATTCCGCGTACTACCGCGACGTTGTTGGTGATGTTGGTTATTGAGATTTCTTACCTTAATAAAGACACCATTAAATATTTTTAACGTTAACAATGCAATTACAATAAATAAAAGACAAATAGAGATGCTGATGTATATTAAAATACGCATATTGCCGTCAAACAAAGCAAACAGTGATTGGTTTTGCTCGTCCATCACGTCCATTAATATTGCAAAATTTGTTAAATGATTACACATACAAATGCTATGTGTACGATTTGTTGATTCCAAATTACAACCATTAGCCGACCAAGCACTAAAAATATATATATATATACATAGATGATTAATATAGAAACATTTATATATATAAATTTAAAACTCACTGATCGATATAGTTCCAAAATACACAAGTTGGATTTGATACATTTTCAGTTTTCAAATGTTTCAAAATTAGTTTGATCGGTTGTGAAATTTGAATATGGCGCCCTTTTCCTAAACTAGCCGATATTACTTTGCTGTTAAGTATACGCAGACGCTGTTGTGATGCGGAATCTGAATCACTTTCGTTTGTTACTAATGCTGTGTTCCGTACTGTATTTAATGTTACTGATTATTTAAAATACATATATATTATAAAAAAAATTTAAGCTTACTATAACTACGCGAACTTTTAATATCGAAATGGTCGAATGTAGGTTTTAGGATTGATTCCAAACGATCAAAAGCAGCAAATACAATGCGTACTAAACCACCTTCACTATTTTCTAGAAGTGCAGCACGAGGCAATTCAATGCGATCATCGCTGACTTGCCACTGTTCTGCGTCAGGAAAAATAACGTCCGATTGTATATTTTTAGTTTCCAAAACACGCACAGAAAGCACTAAAAATAATATATAAATAAAATAAACAAATAAAACACAGTAAAAACAATAGAAAATATACATAAAATGTGTCAATATAATTGTTTTATATAAAAATAATATATAATAATATATAATATATATTATATATAATAATATATAATATATATTATATATAATAATATATAATATATATTATATATAATAATATATATTATATATAGTAATATATAATGTAATAATAATATATAATATAATAAAAATATATAATTCATATATATATATATTATTAATATATATAAATCTAATTAATATATAAAAACATTAATATATAAAAAAATTCATTTAATAAAAAATAATTTTTGTAGATTGATTTTCGCAATATTATTCAATTTTATAATAAATAATAAATTAATTTTTAAAATATAATTATATAAAAATATTTATAAAAATTGTCACTTTTGACGTAAAAATAGTTAGTGGTTTATACTTACATATATTTTTGACCTTTTGTATGACGTTGCGTTCTCGAATGATGGTGTCAGCTAAAAGAAATGCATTATATTCCAAACCAGTTAACAGAGAAGTTGCTACACGCATTTGATCCTCTTGATTTAAATCCAACCATGAGGATAATTGCGATTCATCTAATAGATTTGAACCAGTTTTTACAACACCATGCAAAAGTTCCATAATGATAGCTTCACGCTGTCGTTGATCAGGAAAAGTTTCTTTGTCATGAAACATTTTCTCAGACATCGTTTGTATGATTTTTGTTGTTACCAACATATCGCCACCATAAAGAGTTTTACTACTGGTAACCTATTATTATTATAAAAAGAGTGTTATATATAATACATTGATGAAAATTGTACTAATTTAATAAATTACCTCTGATAAATCATTAGCTATAGATATTAAAGAGGAGTCGCGTTGATTTACACGTACTTCTAAATTATTTAGCCATAAACTTCGGCATTGAGTTAAATCAGGCGTTAAAGGATGCCATGTGGGTATAAAATTACGTAAACGCTGATCCACTTTCATGCCAACATCTTCAAAATTATTACAATTACTGCTGTTGTTATTATGACTACAATTCATATGACGTAAAGGTAATTCAGTTGCGTATATATCTTCTTCTAAACTATTATCAGATATGCGCTTCATTAGTACACAACGCCATTTTGCAATTCCAGTTGCTCCACCTTAATTCATTAAATTTCGAATTATATTATTTTTAAATATAATATGCATTTTTATATACCTGGACATGGCTGTACATTCACATCACCAACACGTGTAATATTCCAAAACAGGTTACGTGCATTTGTGGGACCGCAAAACATATTTGTGCCATCACCACCAGTTAAACCAATATTAATATTAATGTTATTTATTGTGCGAATGGTATTATTTGTGTTACTAGCACTTCCAGCAATTGTGCTACTAGTAGAAAATTGTTCTACTGTTGTTGATTGCTGTTGATTCACACGATTTTGAGTGGTTCTGGTAGTTAACAGTGTACTGTCATCACTTCCAGTACCACCAATACCTGTTAAAATACGTGTATTTGTTGGTGTGGTGTTTGTTGGCGAAATAGATGTTATTCCTTAAATAATATTAAATTACATAAGTTTATATATTGATGAAAAAAAGGTGTTCCGTTTTTAAAAAGGCTTCTGTGAATTTATAAATAAAAAAACTTATACGTTGGTTTTTATTTTATATATAGTTATTTATACTTCTACCTTGCCTTGAAAAAGAAACATTGACGATATTTGTATAGATAGGTTAGGTTATAGCAGCGATCATAAGGATGCATTCATTGTGTTACCATAAAAAGAAAACTCAAAGGTTTAAAAACCACCTTGAACCTTTCACAAAGTTTTATATACTTTTTAATGAGAAGTCTGCAATCAGCCAAAATTCTTAAAAAAGGAGAACCCCAAACAGTAAATCTGCGTTACACATGAGTTGGGTTATAAAAAGCAGATGTGTGCACTTTCATCGTCCTCTCCACAAATGCGAAAGGAGTGATTAAAAGAGTAAATCTATCTTCTGGCATCGTTCTCTAATTGGCTGTGACCTGTGAGCAAACTTACCATAAGACTGATATTTTTATGGAGCTTCTCAAAGAGAGCACTGAATTTTTTCTTAACAGTACATGGTTAATTTGCATACAGATATCTATATATCATATAGTTTTCCCATCTTTTATTAAAAAGTTTAGCACAGAAAGAATTCAACAAAAGTTTGCTTAATATTAACGATATGCCCAAATTTTGTAGGTGTTTTGAGTAATTACTTGAAGTATCACGTTTGGTTAGCTTGTCAAACATGCATTTGCTGAAAATATCTCTATAACCGGAAATCCAGAATAGAGAAATTTTAAACTGTGTCGACATCTCGTTTAGAGATGTGTAGCAATCAAAAACTATTCTGTATGTAAATTGGACTGAATTCAAGAACTTCAAAGCAGATTGACTGTCTGATAATAGGTTTATATTCCTATAAAATAAGTTACCCACTTTCAGACAAGCTACAGCTTCTCTAAAGATAACTATATAAAATAAAAGTAAAAAAATAAAAACCAACATAAGTATTTTTATTTAAAGATTAACAAATATTATTTTAAAAACAGAAATAATAAAAAAAGTGAGTTCGTAACTATTCTAAAAGTTTTTTTGTTTTACTTCACTTACCTATATTATTGTTGGCGACATTTCTCGTAACATCATTTTCTTCAATTTTATGATGATCACTAGTAGTATGCCCATTATGTCTAGTATCTTGTGCATTTCCAGCTAAAGTAGCCGTGCGATGGGTTGTGTGATGATGATGATGAATCGGTGGTGGTGGTGGTAAACTATCATGTCGATTTGTATGTTTTATTAAAGTCGCATTATATCCTACTTTTAAACGACCACCAGGTAACGTAGTATGCACTGTCGGTGGCCCCAATGAAGATGGTATACTACTCCAAATACTAGGGGCACCTGCAGACGTTGCACTACCAGGTAAAGGTAGTCGCGGTGGTAGCGGTTGTGGTACGGCGGGATGTGTTACTTTATGACCATTAGGTATTAGGGGAGGAATATTCGTAAATATCCATGGTGGACTAGGACGACTTGTTGTAGTGGTACTTTGTAATGCTGATATGCATTGATAATGTGCTTCCAAATATTTATGTGTACCTGGACAGGGTTCTCCAAACATATTCGTAGTTGCTAAAACAGTACAGTTTTGTTTGTTGGCGCATCTATAAATATAGCAGTTTTAAAAAGATTCACAAAAAAACAAAACAATACAACTAATTTACTTTGAATTCAGCACTGTGAGAGTCTTTGAGAACATGCAATTCACACTCCAATCTACATTGCCGTGGTCATTGCATATTGTAATAGAAAATCGTCCGTAGTTAGCGCGTATTAGGCTGATTATATCGCCCGGATCACATTCTATTGTTAGTTTTTTACCTTCGCAAGCATAGGCAGTTTGATATTTCGGTGCTAAAAATTTATTTGTAGCAAATGCGAAGATGTTAGTTTTAGATTTTATTTGATATAGTACAATACATAATATGACTTTAATGACAAGTAAATATAACATGATATATATATATATAAAAGAAATTATTATTAGTTTTTGTAAAGATGCGTATTTGTAGTTGGTTTGGGTTTTTGTTGAATTGGCAGGAATCTGTAAAGAAACTTACTCATATATGCATATATAATATAATAACGATAGAACAAATATAGGAACGATCGTTAGGAAATGAAAATGACTATTTGTTATAATATTATACTTAGTGATTTTTTAATGTCGACTCTGCAGTGTTAACATTTGATACTTAACAGGTATGATTTTTTTATAAATACCAAATCCATTTCATTAGGAAGGAACAGGCTACACATTTCCTCTGCATACGTGAATAATTTAGAATTTCTTCTGAATTTTTGTATTCACATTTTTCTTCAATTAAATTGCAAGCTCAAAAATCTATATATAATAAATAATAATTTAAATATATAATTAATAAAAAATAAATGTATTTTGAATAAAGAATAAATATTTTTTAAATAACATATTAAATTCATAATAATTATATTCAAATATATTTAAAATAGAAAATAAAAATATTGAATAAAAAATAAATATATTTTAAGAAAAAAATAAATATATTTTGAATAAAAAATAAATAAATTGTAAACATTTTGTTTTTTTTGTGACCAAAAATATAATATAATTATTTTTTGACCAGGCTAATTGGTGGATTTAAATATAAAATAAAAACTACAATTTATTATTTATATTTAAACAAATCTTTTTTTTTAAAATATTCTTTCGACTATCTTCGATAGTCATCTCCAGGAAACATTTATTTTGTATTTAAACTGACCAATTAGTCCGCTCAAAAATTATTATAATTATAAATAAAAAATTTATAAATTTTATATAAAAAATAAATAATTTTTAAATAAAAATTTTTGAATTTTAAATAAAAATGATGTGTATTTTAAATAAAAAATAAATATTTTTTAAATAAAACATAAATATTTTTTAAATAAAAAATAAATATTTTTTAAATAAAAAATAAATATTTTTAAATAAAAAATAAATATATTTTAAATAAAAAATAAATATTTTTTAAATAAAACACAAATATTTTTTAAATAAAACATAAATATTTTTTAAATAAAATATGAAATTTTTTTAAATAAAAAATAAATATTTTTAAATAAAAAATAAATATATTTTAAATAAGAGTTTTTTTAATTTAAAATAAATATTTATTAAATAAAAAATAAATATTTTATAAATAAAAAATGAATGTTTTTGATTTGAAATAAATATTTATTAAATAAAAAATAAATATATAAAATCTAATATAAGATAAATGTGTATTAAATGTAATAATAATTGAAACACAAAAAGAAGTATGAATTTAATCTAAAGAAGCTACATTAATGATCTTATCAATTAAATGGAAATGTTTGATGTTAGAAGAATGCAACAAATCTTTATACAAAAAAAAATGAAGATTGGCTTCATTGTACACTCACCGATCAAACGAAAGAAAATCAACATTTTTATTCGAAGCCCACATATACATTTTTTTGATTCTGCTGCCTCGCCCAACTGCACGCTACTTAAAATTGGCGTCGACTTCACAGCTAGTGCATATTAAACCAACAATTTTAAAACCGGTTACACATACAAGATTCTTGTAGTTATTTTTATTTTTCTTATCTTTTTATAGTTTTTACAAAAAGGGTCTGTGACGTGGACGGCGACGCCAGCGTTGAAAACTTCCTTTGTTCTTTAAATAGAATTGTTCACATAAGACATGTAATGATTTTCTCGTCAATATACTCATTTTAAAACTACTTTTATATAAATTATTTGATCCTTATAAAGATTTTATAAACACTCTATATGCAGTAGAATATGCTGAAGATATTCGGGCTTGTAGTATGTAAAGCACTATAATAAAATTTTTCAATAAATAAGTAGACATTTTGTTAATATAATTAGTTATAATTGTAGTTATTTAAATGTATTTTTATTCATACTTTAATAAAATATTATGCGGAGCTCTAACTTTTAAACACTTCCACTTAACAGAAAATTCTCTATACCAATAAAATAGTTTTGTGTTGCCATATTTCATTGGACTTTCTAGAGTTGCCAAGCTCATAAATATGAACAGTGCTAATAAAATATTATCAAATGAACAAGGGCGAGTAAATTGCAATAAAAAAATAGAAAAGATTAATATGAGGTCAGCGCTTATACTTTATTTGCATTTAGACATAAAATCTGTTTTTAAGTTCATATATTGGCGTATATTGCTGCATATTTCACAGACAATCTAAAAAAGCTCTTTGAAGTACAAAATACTGTTTTTTATATTATTCTGTATGCTGCAGTAAATAAAAGTTGTAATTATATTTATATTCTTTATATAAACTTAAAAAATCAAAGCACATATATAAGTATATATTACTTATTAAGTAATATTATAAATAATATAAAAACAAATCTCACGATTTTAGTGGCAAAAATTTTGCTGGCAAAAGTTTTTAAGCAAATGAAATTGAGTAGAGAAAAACTTTAACCTCGCAATTGGGAAATTTTTTTGCATAAACTCACAAATTTATTATAAATAACATATAATATAACATATAACATATGGGTATAACATATGTTTAGTGATTCTTGTTTTTCTTTTTTAATTTACTTGTAATCAAATATCCTTGTATTTGATAATATTTCATGAGTTTTCAAACTACATTATCTTTTTTTTCCTTTAAAAGTTTATGCATCAAATGTATTTCATAAAACGGGATTTACATTACGAATTTTGCTGGTGGAAATCGATTTTGAGCCTAAAGTTAAGTACCTTTTCTATAATAAAAAGATACTTTTATTAATATGTAAAATAAAGTAAAGTGAAATTTGTATAAGTACTGTCAGATAGTGTTTTTATGTTTTTAATTTTGAATTCGTACCATTTTTAAAGATCAAAAATAGATGTGAGGTATCTTTATGAAGAAGTTGAAATAGAAACTTTAATATGAACCCACAATCATTCTTATACCATAGTTATTAGACCATATCCTCGCGATGTTGCCGGGAAGTTCTTACAACCAAATTGTGATGAAATTCGTCAGATCTATATTTATCAAATTAAAAAACAATAGTTAACTAATCAAAAAAATCGAATCAAAAATTTTATTTCTTTAGAATGTCATCGGTAGGTAGTTTGCGTATATAGTTAATACACTTTTAAAGTACTCTGTATCCAATTATATTAAAGACAAACTTTCATATAGCAAATAGTTCAATTTCAAACTTATCTATACACATAGCACAAATAACTTTAATTGTGTGCTTAATTTTGCTTATTCTACTCGTTGAGCTAGCTTTGTTACAAAGTAAGCTTGAAATCACAATTCAATTCCACACATCCGACAAGCTAAATTAGGATTAAATTTTAATTTGTATAAAATCAAGTTCATAATTCACAACAGTACATTGTATTTATGTCTACGAACGCCATAACAAAAACCAAAAGTAGAATTAAAATGAAGATTTGTTGTGTGAATAGATAATCATCCAAGTAAGACTTCTGAGCAAAATCAATAACAATATTAAGATTTCTACTTATAAACCAAAATCTCTATTAATAAAAGTTTGAATTGAACTACTCTCTAAATGTGTGCATATGTTTTACCGTTCATTGAAGTTCATATTTTTATTTAATTTGTTTTTATATTGTGAAAAAGCAACAACAAAACACACTTAAATGTTCAAATACCTGTAAATATTATGAGTTTTCTTTACATTGAATTTTTGATTTTAAATTTGTTTTATATATACCATATGCGTCTGAACAATTTTTAGTTTTTAAATGTAATTAATGAATTTTATGTAATATATGATAATAATATTTTACGTACACTATTTGAATTGAATTGTTTTATCAATCTTAGCAAAATATATTTCGGTAATAAATGTTCATATACTAATAACAATATTATTTCATAAGTTGAGAAAAATAAAACTTTTGATTTTATGTACATTTGTTTGCACAAGTGTATATTTTTTATTGATAAAAACATATTATATATATAATATAAATATGCAAAGTTCCTTACCATTTGTAAAAAAAATATCATATAATAATAACTAAATAAAACAGTTTTTTTTTATTAATATAAAAGCAAAGTTTTTAATGTCAGTTTAGATAGTTGCTTGACCAACAATCAATATAAGTCGATATATACACATATCCCACCTCTACCTAGAAATTAATTTCATACTTTTATAACGTCCTTCAAGAATAAGTTATGTATTTTTGAAATTTAAAAGTTAATAGAAAATAACTGTTTTATATTTTTATGGTATTAAAATTGTATCAACATTTCTGGTCAACAAATTTGGCTCCTCAAAAATTTATGTCTTTATTTCAAAAAATTTTAGACAAAATGTTTTGATATTTCATAATATCAAAAAAAAAGCCAATAGAACGCAAGATATTCCTACTGGGTTATGTTATGGATTTTTCAAAAAGCCAATCATGTATTTAGTTTCAAAACGACACATGAGATATGACAAATTGATGTATAGAAACAAGATTATTAAATTTTGTGGTCCCTTGTAAAGCATAATAGGAACGGAGTTATTCACACTGTTTCATTTAGGCACTTGTTCATTTATATTAATGAGTGAACGTTCACATTATAATAAGCTAATTCATGCAATTGATAGAACTTTTATAAACTTCACTTAAATATATATCACAAAAAGAAAAATTAAATTTATATTAATTTTTTAGAAGACACATTTATAGAAATCATTTTAATCAATATAGTGTTGGGTATCATCTTCTAAAACTGATTTTATATCTGAATATACATTAGTATTTTATATGAAAATGTGTAAACAAAAATCGTAGATGCTTTTAAATAGAATAAATATCAGATTAATACATTAAAAAGTAAATTATCTAATATAAGAAAATTAAGTTAACAAAAGTTTACTTAATTTCAAATTATTGAATTTATATCTTTTACTTTTATTTTGGCAAATAACATATTTAGTATGTGTTAAGTAAAAAAATGTTTGGTTATAGTTTAATTTCTTTATTTCTTATTATGTATTAATTAAATAGTTAAATTAACGAAAAGTGTATTAATATTTTATACATTAATTAAATTTTATTTATGTTAACGAAATACAGTCCATTTTAAAAGTAAACACCAATCTATAAATATTTTTATATTTTTTATAATAAAATTTCTTATTTTAAATTAAGATCTTATATCATCAAGTCATTAATTTATAATACTAATTGTAAGTGTGTCTTAACAAATTTGTTAGTTTCTTTACTTATTATTTTAACTGTAAGATTAAGTTAAGTAATTTCATTAGTCACGATGTTATTTTATTTTATTAAGTTATATAATTTGATATGTTAGTTGAAAACTGCTATTAATATTTATATTAAATATAACATAAAATTATTTTTTATTTGATTTTGTACGTTCTTAAATCTCAGATATAACAGTGGGTTTCATTCAAAGTTTTATTAATAATTTTTTTATTGACAAGTTTTTTGATAGACTTTTTAAAATGAATAATTTAGATTATATATAAGAGTGTATACAATCCAGTGATCTATTTATATTCTTTAGGCAATAATATTTTGGTATATATATAAATATTTTTATATATTTATATTTATATTTATATTTATATTTATATTTATATTTATATTTTATATATATATATTTTTATACTCAATACTAAACACATCTTTCTAAAAAAAAGTTATGTCCATTTGATCGTTTGAATCAATTGATTAATTTGATTAAAATTGATTAATTCCATAAAATTAAATCTACACACACTACAATAGTTGATCTATAGTTTTAAAACCCTTAAATCTGCAGGACTGAATGTCTGTTCCCATCTGTTCAGCACCCTTGAAAGCAAATAGGTGATTATATTTCAATACTGTTTAGATTTCAATCATTTTAATATTATAAGAAAAAGTTTATAATTGTCTTTGAACCTTAAATAGATATAGCATTTGAAAGAAACTAAGCTGAACTTTCTATGAGTCTTTAATAATTTATAATGTGAGTTTAACGAAGTTTTATTATTATTGAAGTTTGGCTTGTTCTTGATCCGACACTAGTTTTCTTCTTAAACTGAAAGTGATTTAATTAAAACTTTTACATTAATATTTTTAAAATTATGAATTATAATTCAAAATTAATAAGATCCTATACTTCTATAAAATCGCTAAATCTTGTTGTAGTTGGAGAAGAGTTAAAACTGTTTTGGTTTCTTAAACTGTTTACTTTCACCCTTTTCTTTTATAAGTCCTCTTATTTAATAGAGGTTAAATCAATCCTTTTTTTGAACTTCCTTATTTAAACTTCCAATTGGCTTCTATTTAATAAATTGTTTTTTTTTTTTGCTTTTCGACATTTCTTGTCCTGCCACATTGACTTCTACCATTTTTTTATATCATCCGTTGAGGTAAATATATTTTTGAACTTTGTTTTTTTCTTTTTGCCTCATTTTTTATTTGAAGCGATAACGTTCTAAAACCTGTAAAGTCTTAAGTTTGTCCTCTCCCAATATCCACACTTTTTTCATCATTTATTCTCCATTTTTCTGTATATTAAAATGGTTTTAAACATTCTTATGGATCGCCAGAATTCAGCACTGCTTTATAATAGCATAACTTATACTTATTTATAGGAACAAAAGAATATATTGATATCACTAGTGGTAAATGTATTTGTTACGAATATTTAACTTTATATAACACAAAATTTAGAGCTTTTAAATAGTAGTGAATTGTAATAACATTTTTTTTTATTGCTTTTGTTGTTGCAATTCACTACTGTTTAAAATCTTTCTATTAATTTCAATAGTTTCTATTAAGTAAAATAGCCACTACCGTCATAACTGACGTTAAAATCAAATTTAATACAAAATATAGATTGAGTACATATTCAACAATTTCACATTTTTTTTTTAATAAGTTATTAATACTGCCAAATTTTGTTTTGCTCTCAGAAATAATATAATAATATAGGCCTCTTCAGAGTCTGTCGAATTCTTGAATTTGTTAGAGGTCAAATTTAAGTAAATTATAGAACACTTTTCGAATTCTTATTCCGAAATATCAAAACATGTAAACATCTGTTTTGTATAGATTTTATTGATGTTATTAATGTAAAGATTTGTACAAGATCTCAAAAGTTCTTACCGCCACAATTAACGAAATTGAAAAAAACGTAAGCAATCTTATGCTGTTTTCAATTAATATGTTAGGTTATCCCAAGGGATCCACTTAGGCCTATAGGCCCATTTTGCTACCGTATTATTAAAAGAATCAAGGGTTAAAACCATTTAGAACCTTTGACAAAGCTTATGATGCTATTCAGAGGAAGATCCTGAAGCTTGCCAAGGTCCTCAGAAAAGAAAACCCCTAAAGTGTTAAGAGATTACCTAAAATCTCGTGTTAACATGGTTACCTAAAAAAAAAATTATCTGTAAGTAAACTTACTGCAAGACTGATATCACTACGGCGCATCTCGATGAGAGAGTTTGATTTTCGTTTATTGGTGCGATTCCAAATTGCATACAGATGTCTGCATATCGTTAAGTCTTTTGCAAAAACTTTTGCATCTTTTATTAAAAAGATCGGCGCGGGAAGACTCAGTGCCAGTTTGCATGACGTCAATAAATCTAGGGCAATTCTGTCAATCGAGATCCACTTTTAGTGTAAGTTTCGAGAAATTTCAAATTGTCGGATTAGAATTGGATGAGATTTCTAAAGAAATTTGCTTAAACATTCCTTGACAAAATCGACGCTTTTGACAGTTTATGAAGAGGTACAGAATAAGTATATAATTATTATTTTATGAATTTTAAAATTAAACATTTAATTACATTAAAATTCTGTTATTGAAAAAAATTTACAAATAAAAAATGAGATGAAGTATACGTCTACGTATTAGGTTTAAATATACTTATATAATAGGACTTAATTTATTAAAATTTTATTTTAAACAATTAACTTGTTTGATATTACGTTTACACTTACAATAATCGAATTTCGGTAGTACATTTTTGTATGGATTGTGATTAAACAATATCAAATGTGAAGTTAATTGCGAAAGTGTTAACGTAATGTTATTTAAAATATAAAAATATGTACAAGTAATTATACTATATGATACTTCACTGTTCCATAATATCTTCCAGACGTAAATGTGCCTTTCGTTTATGCCAACGTAAGCTAGCAAATTGTGCAAACCGTTTAGTACAAAACTCGCATTTGTACTTCTTGACCGGTAGGTGAAGTTCTTTATGCTTTTTTAGGTTACCAATTGTTGTGAAGCTTTTATTACATGCATTACATTTATGATTACGTATATTAAGATGAATATTCATATGATTTGTAAAACGATTTTTTTCGTAGAAATTCTTATCACAGATCGGACAGTGAAATGTTGAGTCCTGTACATGTATACGCCGATGTATATCGAAAAATGACCAAGTTTTAAACGATTTACCGCAAAGATCACAGATATATGGTCGTTCTCCCGTATGTTTTCGCTTATGTATTGCCATTTCAGTAGCCGTGGCAAAATTTTTATCGCACATATCACAGGCATAGGGAAAATCACGTTTATGACGTCGTATATGTACGGTCAAATTTCCAGGCATTTGAAAACCTTTCCCACATAATGTACAAATGAATGGTAAGGTACCATCGTGACCAGATTTGTGTATTTTGTATTGATCGGATGTTTTTATAAGCATTTTACAGAAGTCACAACGAAAAGGACCTAAATTAATATCCAAAAATTCTGATAATTTCGTGTAAAGTAGAGAATTTGTAGTTTTACTATTATTTACAAATATTTTTTGTTTTTCGGTAGAATAGTCTTTACGCAATTGATGTATAGTCTTTTGTAATTGATCGAGTGAG